TCCTGTGATCATCCTCTGAACCATTGATTTCCAGGCAGTGGTCTAGCGACTACTGCTTGGAAAAAATTATATTTTCTCAGTCTACAATAAGGTCTTGAAGTCAGTATTTTTTAAAAAGTTCTCCAGTTGGTAAAACTCAAATTTGGAAACCACTGCTCTAAGCTAAAATGTGTTCAGGATTCAGGTCTATCCTATGTAAACATCCTCTGATGTTTACATGAATTACTCTGAATTCCATATTCCACTTGTTCCTTGCTTACTGGGGGGAGTATCCTTACATGAAGAGTGATAAAAGAATTTTAAATTTTTAAATTAAATATAACATACTTTTATTACTCTCTGGAATATTTATTATCTTAGAATTCAATGTAATTTTTCCATCATTATTTATTATTTATTAGCGGGCCTGTTACACTGAGGCCCGTGGCACTAAACATCTGGCTGTAAAAATAGTTGGACTGCCCTCAGTCTTAGGCAGAGAAAGTTCCCCTAAAGACAGCCATATAGGTGTTTCCTGAAATAGGACTTTCCTAGAAACTGAGCACCACTGGTCTGTATGCATTCTTTTATGTCTTCATTCAGCAAATATTTATCAAATACCAGCTATTCAATAGCTGTTTCAGCTATTCCAGGCCACTGGATTCTTTTTTTATGTATTTTTATTATTTTATTTTATTTCATTTCATTTTTCCAGAGTCTTGCTCTGTCACCCAGGCTGGAGTGCAACGGCATGATCTTGGCTCACTGCAACCTCCACTTCCTGGGTTCAAGCAATTCTCCTGCCTCAGCCTCCCAAGTAGCTGGGACTACAGACATGCACCACCATACCCACCTAATTTTGTATTTTTATTAGAGATGGGGTTTCACCATGTTGGCCAGGCTGGTCTTGAACTCCTGACTTCGTGATCCACCCCCCCTTGGCCTCCCAAAGTGCTGGGATTACAGGCATGAGCCACTGCACCCAGCCAGGCCACTGTATTATATATACAAACTGTATAAAAATAAGTAAGATTTAGTCCTTGATCTTAAGGAGTTCATAGACTAGCACAGTAATAGAGGCATACACATAAATAATTAATTAGAACAGAGGTATTTGCTCTTGTTGGGCATGGAGAGATGGGGCTGGGTCAAGCCCACAGGAGAACCTGGAGAAGGGCCCGGCAAACAGAATAGTACAGATGCATCACATAAGTCACCAGTCTGTGCTGCCCTTATTTACCAGACATAAGAGGAATATCTAACTTCTGAACAGGTCAAGTGAGTACATTTAAAATATAATTCATTATCCTTCCCTGCCATAAAACAAACAAAACCTGCTTCTCTGCATGTATTCCTTGACTGGTGACTGGCACTTCATCTTGTACTATGTCCCCAGCCAGGAACATGGGAGGCTTCTCCTTCACTCCTTATTGCCAATCATTGATCAGGAACTGTCCATTTAACCTCTATCCCTCTCCTCTCCTCTCTCCACTGCCACTGTTGCTGCCTCAAACAAGCCCTCAGACCCAGACACTGCAGTAGTTTCCCCTCTGGTCTCCTTAGATTGAGACCTGCCTCTTTCCAGTCCATTCTCATATCAGTTTAGATCATAAGTGGCTTTACTTCCTATAGAAAAAGATCTAAACTCTTCATCTAAGCAAGACTGCTTGGATTCAAACCCTGGCTTCATCACCTGATAGCTGCGGGCAGGTCATTCCACCTCTCACCCACTCAGTTCCTTCATCTGTAAAACAGGGATGAAAGTGGAATCTCCTTCATAGGGTTAGTGTGAGGGTTAATTGCGTTATATACTGTATATGTGAAGTTGTTAACAATGCCTGGCACAAAATAAATACACAATGATTCTGTCATACTGGGGGTAGCAGGTTAATTCAGTGTACATGCCAGGTAAATAAAGACCACTAGGACTTACTTTGCCTTCTAAGGGCTAACAACCTGAAGCTGGGCAAGAAGATGAAGAGATAAACAAATTACTCCATATGATTAACGCTGTTGTAATTTTAAGCAAGGTACCAAAAAATCGTTTGGTAATCAGAGAGAAAACTATAAAACCTTGTTATCTAAAATTGTTATATTAAAACTTATTTTCTGGCTGGGTACAGTGGCTCACACCTATAATCCCAGCACTTTGGGAGTTTGAGGTGGGAGGATCACTTAACGTCAGGAGTTTAAGACCAGCCAGGCCAGCAAAAACCTCATCTCTACTGAAAACACAAAAATTAGCCAGGCATAGTGGCGGGTCCTTGTACCCAGCCACTTGGAAGGCTGAGGCAGGAGAATCGCTTGAACCCAGGACATGGAGGTTGCAGTAAGGTGAGATTGTGCCCCTGCACTCCAGCCTGGGCAACAGAGTGAGAATCTGTGACATAGTAACTCAAGCCCCCAAATACAACTTAATACCTCCCAAACCACAAATTTCTACTGCATGAAATTTGCATATTCATGATTTTGTTTCTAGACCTTTGCAGTAACCACAGGCAGTCTGGTGCTTCTATATGTGAATATTTAGATCCATTCTCTTAGTAATAATTTGAAAAAAGAATAACTGAGCATTAGACATACAAAAGGGAAAAACAAGTAAACCATAGAGGAATAATAGATTACAATAAAACCTTGGGGAAAAAATAAAATTATGGTCTTGAACTGTACTCTAGTGGTTTTTGGACATTGTGAGCTACTGAGATTTGTGTAAGAATTGCTGTGGTGGCATCAGGGAGACTGGAGGACATTGGCAGAATATATATAAATTCAAAGTAGTTTATAAATATTTAAATATAATTCACAGCACCGAACATACATAGTAAAGAAGAAACAGAGTTGGAGAAATGGCATTTGGTACAGGGAACAGAATAGCAGAGCTTTTGAGTTTAGGCTCAACTCAAAATGCTTCGGCTACTCACTAACATTGTGACTTTGGGAACTTATTTAATTTTTCTAAATCTTAATTCTCTCATCTGGAAGATTGGATTATAGTAGTACTACTGAATCAGATAGTTAAAATTAACTAGGAAAATATCCTAACACACTTTACGGTAATTTGCAAATAGCAAGTAGCCAATAAATGTTAGTTGTGCTATTGATGATGATGATGAATACCATGGGTTTGTTTTTAGCAGTCAAACCAAAATAAATTTACATATATATATCTCAATTAAATTTGTGGAAAGGATGTCATAAAGTACTTGTTATTTCCTACATGGCAGGTAATGTTTACTAATGTTACCTTTGTTTAGAATATGCTGCCTTTTGTTGCTATATACTAGTAGATATAAAATACTATCATAGAGTTTAATAAGTATATTACTTATCTTTCTTTCCCCATTCTGTTTTTCACATTTGAGTTTAAATTTCTACGAAAGTTAACCTACTACTAAAAAATATAACCTACAATTGAAGAACTGTAGAATTCCAGAACTCCTTGATTTTGTTACCTAATTTAATAAATATAGTCATTGATAATGCCAGTTTTGTTAATAGTGCTTCTAAAGTGCTTATGTATTTTAAATATTCTTTCTACTGTTATGTATATCCTATGTGTTTTCACCTTCTCTGATATTAGTAAGTAATTTTGTGAACAAAGATAAACAGTCTGATTTAGCATACTTTAATGTAGCTAGAGTATGTACAAATAATGTATTAGAGGTTCTCTCCTATGGGATACCTTCCTTCTCCAGCTCAGTTTAGTGACTCCCCCAACCCCTGCTCCTGTAAATCCCGTACATTCTCCATCTGTATATTTTTAACTTGTTTGTACTTTCAAACGAACTGTGAGCACTTTAACGTTGGTGGCAATGACCATATCATGCAACATTGAACATCCCAGTAGACAGTCAGTTGATTTTTGTTAAGTGAATGAATGCTGCCTTCTTACATCACTTATATAATTCTTAACATATGGTCAGCAATGTACCAGTGACTGATTCAATTAATTTATAAATTTAAAATGCCTTTAAAAATAAGATAAAGTAAGACAAAAATAGGAAACTTTAACAGGAGAACTAATGTTAACTTAATTCTGAAAACTTGTCTGTGGCATAGCCATCTTTCTTTCTGAAGAAGGTTGCCTGCCCCTCTGAAAATCCAGAGGCCTTACCCTAGTTTGTTTACCCCAGTTTCCTGATTAGTAATTACTAAATAGCCTGTTTAAAGTGACAGGTCTAGACGTCTACTCTGGCAGACTAAAGGGGGCTCCTGTCACAACTGGCTGTGGTTTTAGGCCCTGAAATGAGAGACATAGACTTTACACACTTCAGCTCTTAAAGATACTGTGGATGATGTTAGGAAAAGAAATAATACAGCCAGGAAAATGTCTACCACATCACATATGTCTAGTGATTGAGCGTTCATCTATTTGTCCACAGAAGCCTGAATTGTAATATATACTTGTGTAATAGGTAAATGATAAACATAAATCAGCATAGAAAATTGTCATCAGGGCCACCCAGCACATACTATGTCTACCCAGGGTGAAAGCTGTCTTCTTCTTTATTTGTGTCAAATAATCAGAAACAAGAAAGAGTTCGCAGGTACAACAGGAAGCAGCTTAAAAGACAGGCCTGACATCATCTGTAGCCTTAAGGTATACTATTTACTTCCCTTAGTGTGATGATTCTCAGCCGTAGGTCACAATTGAGCCTTAGGACCTTAACCCAGAGTGTTGCATCCTTCCCCCTTGCAAGTACCCCAGGAATTGCCACCATTGGCCAGTGTCCAAGAAGAGGCTTGAACAGCTGCCCTGACGAATGGGTTTCCCCAGTTCAAGCAAGCAAATGAGGAGTTTGAGCTGCTTCGCAATACTCCCTGCCTCTGGGCTGCAAAGGCTGTTTAAAATGATAATAAAGTATCCTACTCTCTAGCACTATGTATTTTTCTTTTTGGATACATGTAAATATCTTTAGGATCTTTTTAATGTAGAAGATGAGAAATCATCCATATGAAGAGTTGGCTTCAGCTTTTCTTTCTTTCCTTCTTTTTTTTTTTTTTTTTTTCATCTCTTCCAGACAGTAAGGATTATATCCTGGAGCCACTTTCCCTGCCAGAAAGTCCAGGTGGCACCACCACTTTAGAAGGTTCTCCATCTGTGCCTTGTATTTTCTGTGAAGAACATTTTCATGTGGCTGAACAAGACAAACTTCTGAAGCACATGATTATTGAGCATAAGATTGTCATAGCTGATGTCAAATTGGTCGCTGATTTCCAAAGGTAAGTTCTGTTTTTGTCCTTAAAAGAAATTAATTTGACCAGGTGTGCTTTCTCATGTCTGTAATCCCAATACTTTGGGAGGCCAAGATGAGAGGATCACCTGAGGCCAGGATGCCAACTCGACAAAAAAATTTAAAACTTAGCTAGGATCAGTGGCATGCACCTGTAGCTCCAACTACTTGGGAGGCTGAGGCAGGAGGGCTGCTTGCACCCAGGAGTTCAAGGCCGCAATGAGCTATAGTTTACACCACTGCACTCCAGCCTGGGTGACAGAATGAGACCCTGTCTCTTAAGAAAGAGAATTAAATTTATTATTTATTAAAGGAATGACATAATCTATATATAAAATAATAGCTACACAAATATGAAAATACATACTCATTTTCAGAAAAAACTTTACAACTCTTTTGCACTTTTGAGACTTTGGTTTTTTGTTTTTTTTTTGAGACAAAGTTTCGTTCTCATCACCCAGGCTGGAGTACAGTGGTGTGATCTTGGCTCACTGCAACCTCAGCCTCCCAAGTAGCTGGGATTACAGCCATCTGCCACCATGCTCAGCTAATTTTTATATTTTTAGTAGAGACAGGGTTTCATTATGTTGGCCAGGCTCGTCTCAAACTCCTGAGCTCAGGTGATCCACCTGCCTCAACCTCCCAAAGTGCTGGGATTACAGGTGTGAACCACCATGCCCAGCTAAGTTCTTAGACTTTAAAAAAATCTTTGCATTATTTTTCTTGAGTGTATAAGTTTGAGAATGTTACATGCTAATTTATTTCCTACAAGTTCTCAAAAGATGAACTTTGCAAAGAGTAGATAATACTCCCTTTCAACATTCCATGAGATTGTAGATTGTAGTCTATTAGATTATGTCTCATGTTTTAGGCCATAGACATTCTCTGATGGGTTCTTCCAGTAATTCCAGAATAGACTTTGCAACAGGGCACTCAAAAGGCAGTGTTTGGGAAGGGATCCTTGGAGCCTTTCAAGCCAAAGGGATAATGCCCAAACAAATCTCAGTTTAAGCGCTGTGATGAGGTTGATTCCTTTTTTCCCAATTTATAATTTCTGGAAGTAGTTGTCCAGGGAAGGGAAGGGAAGGGGGAAGGGGGAATAGGGAAGGAGGAAGGCGGAAGAGGGGGAGGGGAAGGAAAGGGGAAGGGGAAGGGGAAGGGAATGCCTTCCCTGAAGCAGCTGTAGTAGAGTAGTTATGCTCATGTTATGATTGGTTGAGACTTGGAAAGCATTTTTCATAGAAGCAACATCAACAGGTCATTGGCTATACAGTTACTGAAAGCATAAAATTTGGTGTATCTGGTAAGGTCCCATTTTGAGGTATTCTGTCTTGATTTCCTCACAAAACATTAGAGTAGCCCAGACATTGAATCCCACTGCATCTAAACTCTGTTTCTCTCAGGCCATATAAAACATTCCTAGCAAACAACTACTTTCTTATGATAGGTCTTACAGAACAGCAACCTGTATTATTAAGAGCTGACTATGAAAAAGGCAAGCCTGGGGTTGAATGCAGGCTTTCATACTTCCTAACCTTGTGATTTCCTGCAAGCTACTTAACTACTCTAAGCATCTGTTTCCTCATCTATAAAATGGAGGTAACACCATCCCTCATAAGGTTATTGAATATTACATAAAACAGAGTATGGAATTTGAGAGCGATCTGGCTGCAACATCTGTCACCCCCTTAATCGCCAGGGTTGATTCGGCTGATCTGGCTGGCTAAGGAGCTGTCCCATTCCTCCCTCACCACTCATGTGCATCCCTCCCAAAGCTGTGCTCTCAGTCGAAGAGGACAACCATCCTCGATAGAAGAGGATCTATCTTTGGTCAAGGGTATACAAGTAGCTGCACTTCCCTAGTAGAACCTCCAGACAGGCTCTGAAGGTCCATTTATAGGAGAAAGTAGGTTAGTCAAGCTTCCAAGATTCCAAACACATTCATATGAGGTGCTGCATGTGGCAGTCTGCCTTTCTTTTAAAAAAGGAATTAAAAGAAATACTACATGGCTTATTCTTTGTGAAGGTTTCTATTAATCAGCTTTTCTTTCATGGGAAACCTTTATTTTTCTTTTTGAGTCCAGGGTGGAGGGCAGTGGCATGATCTTGGCTCAGTACAACCTCTGCCTCCTGGCTCAAGCAATCCTCCCACCTCAGCCTCCTGCAGGCATGCACCACTACACCCAACTAATTCTTTGTTCCTTTGTAGAGACAAGGTTTCGCCATGTTGCCCAGGCTGGTCTAGAACTCCTGGGCTCGAGCAATCTGCCCACCTTGGCTTCCCAAAGTGTTAGGATTACAGGTGTGAGTCACAGTGACTGGCCACGAAACTATTCTTTTATTCTCTTTTATCATATAAACACAAATTTTTCTTCAGAAATTGAATAAAAAAATGGTTATCTACCAGTGATAATTGAATAGTTTAAGATTTTTCTTTCTCCTCTGCCCGTAAAGTATGTAAGGAATGTCTGTATTCTCCTTTGTGCTTATGTATCGTAGGTAAGTAGCTATATTTGTACTAATCAATCTCTATTTGTATTACTGTTATTAATCTCCTTATCCTGTTATTCATATACAGACAGGAAAATTGAATTATTTACTAGGTCTCGGAACTTAGGAGTTAGTAATTAAATGTTGGGATTATTCATGCTATAAATGCAGATATACAGTCAAGTGGATGCTTTAATTAAAAAGAAAAGGTTGCGTATCTGATATAAGTGCTTTCTAAAGTGTATCATTAACATGTATTTAAAATAGGGAAACCTAGATTTCCCTTGTCAACTGTCCTTCTAATTAAATAAAATTTTTACTCTCAGCAGTTTAAAAAATGTGATTAATTCTAATTGACCAGGCATATATCTGAGTAAACTCTGTTGCTTTTAAATACCTTTGACTACATCCAGTCTCCTTTAAATAATAACCTCCTACTAGTTAAGGAAACTAAAAATTCCCCTCCCAAACAATCCAAGTATTGACTGTTATGATCAAAGTTAAGTTGGAATCTTCTCAGTATCATGTAACTTGTTTCTAACTTTAGGAGACAAGTTATAAGGCATAGGGTTGGGAGGAGGGAACACGAGAGGTTCAATTGGCATGAACACATTCCCTCGGAACTCAAGAGGAATTGTTACTTCTAAGTACAATAAGTAATAAATATGATAATAAATAAGAGATGGACTTACCTAGGGGTTTTCAAGAAGTAAGCTATAAGTTTTTATACTAAATATATTTGATTTTTTTTTTGAAACAAAATAACAGTAACACTTTGGGGCAGAAGAAATAAAAACAAAAATAAAAGTCTTCCACTGAGTCCATTTAACATAGTTATTTATACTGAGCTATTTGCTAGCTTTATTCAGTAGATAAAATTGCTCTGAAAAATAAATGTTAACTTCTTATTTCTTACCCTTTTCTATATTAAATTCCACACACTTGCTGCTACTTAATTAACAACCATATTTCAAGTCTTTATGCCCCCATTACAGTGGGGGTGGGCAGGCAGGATATTGCTACAAGGATTTTTTGTGAAACAACCCCATGAGATATGATTTGAAGAAAAATAGTATTTGCTGATTACCTAATTACTTTTTTACTTGGATTTTTAATAAAATATGAAATACTTTGATAACTTAGTTTACCACATTATTTCCTAGTGGTCTTTATATATTGAGTAGCTGCAATTGTAGCTTTCAGTAAATTAAAGAAGTTGGAAAAAATACAGAAGAGAAGTACTAAATGATCTGTTAAATTTGAACAATATGTTCTAGTGAGTGGGGAAAAAATACCACAAGAAGCATGTACTGAAGATCTGTTATCTTCATGCTGTCACTCAATTGATTACAATCTATCTGAATGCCCTTACCATCCAAAAGGAAATGTATATGTTAACACCTCCTAATTATAAGCTTAAAAACCACTGATATGTGTTTAATGACTAGGATGTTTCTTTACTCCAATTTAGAAACAGGTCAAATGTATGTTGCTGTTGATGTCTGTAGTATACCACAGTAAGATATGATGCATAATTTTATATATTTAAGGTGTATGGTGGTTTATGGTTATATTTTGCTTTGTAACAGATGATTTCTTTGATGTTGTCACCCAAGTTTTGGTTAGAAAGAGAACACTCAAATGACAACTTTGTTCCTCGTGGACCAACCTATTACCTGCTTTATCCCATGGGAAGCACTTCCTATTTGAGGAGGGCAACTGAGGTTCTGCTAAACAGAATCTCCCCATGATTTTAAGTCAATTGATGTCAGTAATTGCTTCCCTTGTATATATCACCTTGAAGTAAACTCTCATAGAAAATAAGTACACCATGTGATTCTTCTCTTCAGACATCAAAGAGACAGTACCCAAACATAGAAGTTTTTGGAGACTGAGACCCACTGACTATTGGAATCAGGCTCTTGTTAATTCTGTAGTGGAACTTCTTTGCACCTTTTCCTTGCCTAGTTAAGCAGTTCCAAATCAACAGCCCCTAACAGCTGGTGTTAATTTTCAGCCCTTCGGTAGCAACTTAGCAGTTCAGACTGAAGGCTACTGTTAAGTAGCATGCCTTTCAGAAAGGGAAAACATTCTTTCTCCCTTTTTCCTCTCTCCCATGGGGTGAGGGGAAAGCAACTAGCAAGGAATGGAAAGATAGAGACTAGGAGTAGCCATGTAGGAGACTCAGGAGTATGAGGTGTTGAAGCTGGCCCAGGATGGCTAAGGAAATAATGTCCCAGCTTTTGTAGGAACTTTTTCTCTATTTCTGTTGTGATGGATCCAATATGCACTTGCCACCTTGTGAGATTTCTAATATGGAAGCCAGTGAGTTAGCCATAGAGTAGCGTGCATCATTCATGTATTTGTGATTTAAGGCTCAATGGGAGCTAAAGATTGTCATATTCAGATCTCTTAGGATAAAATTTAGCACTGTTTTATAAGGAAAGGGTTCTCCCCTTACTTACACATCAAAATTAACAGTATGGTTGTATAGGAAAAGAAAAACTTAAACATGGGGTTCTGTTTTTATGCACTATTCATTGACTTTTTTTTTCTCACATATTCTGTATTTATTCAGTGTATTTTTATTTGATGTCAGCTCATCATGTTTCTCTCTTCTCCCAGACCTTTCGCCAGCACAGATTTCTAATACACAAATGCCCTTTCCATAGAGCACCATGGGAATGGAAAATTAATGTTAAGAAAAAAGTAGTAATAAAAAGGAGACAAAATATTGGAAATTGGGGACTACTTAGAGAACTTCACAGGAATTTTCAAATTCTCTACTTCTTTAAAACATTCACTGTGGACCTACTACTTCCAAAACATTCCCCAGATGTGCTATGTCAAGCCATTTAAAATGTCCAAATTCCTACTCTTTCCATATACTTCATCTATTTCAATAAGTCTCATTTCTTTATAAGGCTTTGGTTCGTTGGTGTAAGTTACTTGTTTTATCCTTCAGTTGTGTGGCCTGATGAATCGGGAGCTATAGAGTCAACCTTTCCTTTTCCTTTCTCCCTGTGAAGATAACACTGTCTTCTTGGTACTATTCAATAAATGAGATTGCAATTGCCAATATAAATCTTGTTAGATAAATGGAAGGATGAACCACTTGTTAAATCCTGTCATCTTACTCCTTCCATCACATATGCAGGTCTGGGTGTTATGCTTTGGTTTTTAATTTAGCTGGTGTGCTGCTTCTAACTCTGCTCATTAGATAGAAGAATTGTAAGTTAGGCTATTTTCCCAAAGTCTAAATTTACCTCATTTCAGACACAGTGTGGACATATGGAATTTTTCTGTCTTGTTATGTAGATATTGAATTTAGACTGATTTCTCATTGCATTATTCTTCTGACCTCTGTTCTTTTTATATATAAGATAACCACTAAGTTTTCTCTTTATTGCAGAATGTGTTATATAGTCTATTTAATCATTACTACATTTTGAAGACACATAAACTTAGATGTTATTTCAGAAAAATTCATTATCACATAAAAAATAATATATTTTAACTTTTCTACATGTATTTTTATTGAATTTGGGGAGAGTAAATTTAGGTGTTTTCATGCTCTTACATGGTAATTCCTTTTTATTAAATCTTTATTTCATACTTTTATAATGCTCCACTGCCTTCGTATTCACAAAAAAACTGCTAGAAAAGCAGTTTTAAGTTGACATTTGATTTGTTGCTTTGGGATAACTGAATATGCTTATACAATTCTGTCATTCTAAAGCAAATAGTATATTGAGTCTTCTCATCATTCCTTATTTTATATTGTTCTAAGGTATATTTTGTATTGGAGGAAAAGGTTCACTGAACAGCCCATCACAGATTTTTGTAGTGTGATAAGAATTAATTCCACTGCTCCATTTGGTAAGTATGCATTCTTGCTACCATCTTTTCCCTACAATATCAAAATTCAAAGGAATAATCTTACTCTCTTATATTAGAATTGCTTTTACTTTCATGATAGCTTAATTTAAATTGATGCATTTATTTGGCCTAACTTGCATAAGTTTAAAACAATTCTATGCCAAAGAAATCCTGATAGACACAAACATGTATTTTTTAAGTAGTCCTTCTGGGAAAAAAAATGGTAAATATCTTTTTTCTTATTTGTTTTCCAAACCTCTCAACAGAAGAACAAGAGAATTATTTTTTGTTATGTGACGTTTTACCAGAAGATAGAATTCTTCGAGAAGAGCTTCAGAAACAGAAACTGGTAAGAATTGTTTTTAAAGAGCGAATAGTGTCTTGAAAATACATATATATATATACATACAAAATCATATTTTTTTCTTTTCTTTTTTTTTTTTTACTTTCTGTTACGGAAACTTTCAAATGTACATAAAAGAGGAAACAACACAAAAGATCTTAAAACAGAAAAACGTATACATTTGACTGAAAATTAAAGCATTTTATGTAAAAAATGCAGAGAGAATTTTTGGCTTTGTTTTGCTTCCTGGATTATCTCTAAAATAACAACAGAACTGACACATTTTAGTGTAATTTTAGCTGCCTGACACATGCTAGGGTTCAGTAGTCGTGGAAAAATGCCCTCAGCTAAAATTGAGTTGAATTGATTAACCTTTTTTTCTCCCCTTCACTGGAATGTGCTATGCACTAGCATTTTTTTTATTTCCCTTTATGAATTAAGCATATGGTTTAATCTGCATAGTAGCCTTTCTTGTCTTCAGCCTTAACTATAAGCAAGCTAATTTGAAAACCTCAGCATCTTTAACCTTTAAAAAAAGTAACAGCACATACAAGCATAAAAATTTTTATTTTCATAAGTTAATCAGAAAGTAATTTTTTAAATCATTAATTTTATTTAAGAGTACATAGGTTCCCATTATTTGTGATTTAATCTCAACTATTACTTGAGGTTGACTTGCTGCTCCTTTAGTGATTTTTTTTTTTCTTTTTTCCTATTGCTTTGAGCAAAAATCTTTAGTGATTTCTTACAAGTATTTTTTGTATTTTTGGACTTGGCTAAATCTGTTATGAAAGAGATGATTTAAATATTTGTACTATATCCTGAAGAGATCTAGGCGGAAAATAAATACTACTTACCACAGTCACATAATTTTAGAGAGTCCTTGGAAACAAGTTTTATTTTGTAGACATCCCAAATGATTATTTCTTCCAGCAGGGGAAGGTGATATTGTTGAATATTGATTTATAGGTAAGAAAAGTTACGCTTTTCCTGTACAACAATTGCAGTAAAGAAATTGGACTTCCTGAGTTTCTCTTCTCTCCTTACAGCAGTGTCTTATGAAATCTTCAAAACAAGAGTAAATTTACTATCATGTTTTATGAATGTTAGTTGCATGTACTGCAACTAATACATGTAATTTTTAATTTACATGTATTTTCTCATTGTTGCTAACAGTGGCCTTAAGAATATCAAGCTGTCATGATCCTAGTATCCCTAAGGATTTATTTATAAGAACTCAAACCCTACTACTTCAGCCATTCTTTTCTTTGGCATGCGGAATCTTTACAGTATGTCTGCAGATGGACTCAGGTCTCTAAAAATAGCTACATGTATTGCATTTAAGTGAACGTCTTTACTTTACAGTTGGATGAAGTGATACATTTAATAAAAGTGAGCATTGTGGCAGCTTACAGAAACAAAAGAAGAATGAAAATCCAATTAATCCATACATGCTCATTGAATTTCTGCTTAAGTAGATGCCTACACAAAGATGCCTGTACAAGGCATAGTTCATATCATACAAGTGTGTAAAGTCTAGTTAGAGAAGAAAGATAAATATATAAAGTATAAATATATATTTTATATTTAATAATTTAATAATAAATATTTAGTTATTAATCTTTAATGTTTAATTATTAGAGCTTAATAAAGATAATGATAGAATGTCTTACAGCTTATGAAGATTAAGCAACATATAATGCACTTAGACTACTACCTGACACATAGAAGTCACTTAATAAATGTTAGCCAATAAAAATAACAGTAATAATCCTGTGTCTTAACAGTGAGACGCATTCAGATAAAGAGAGTTGTAGAGAAGGGAAGGAAGATACATATACATCTAAATGTTCAAGGTGTATTCAGGAAAATCGAGTAAAAGTCTACTCTGGCTTAGGTAGAAAATTTTTTATGGGGAGGAGTATGAGATAAATTTGAAGAGGTAAAATGGAGCTAAATTGTGCAAATCCTTCAGTGCCAGGAACTTGACTTTGTAGTATAAAGACCCATTAATGTGTCCTCATTGCCCATCAGACTGACATGAAGAAAAGATAGTAAATGTAGCTGTGTAGAAATCAATTTCAAGCTGTCAAATCCTGAGAAAGATCAGACCAACTTGGGGATTGGAAGGAAGCTAACAATGACTGATGACCGGCCATATGCCATGCCTTCTATTTGGTACATAGCTTTGTAGCACCCTGTGAGGTAGCTATTAAATGCCATCCTACTTATGAGTAAAATGTAGCATAGGAAGCTTAATTTGCCCAGGAACACATAGTGAATGAGGTGCAAAGCTAGAGTTTCAAACCAAATGTTTCCGATACATGCCTTTTAAGCCATGCCATGCCATGCCAGTGTAGTAATTATTTATCTGGCCTCTCATGTGCCTGGTACTATTATTCTAGACTCTGGGAATCTCTCTGTCCTGGATGCTCATGGTCTGACAAGTCTATAGGAAGGGAATTTAGGCTTTGATTGGAGTTTAGGGAAAGCAGAGGAGGTTTATAATAGCCAGTCACTGGAATTCTGATTAGAGGAGCACCAAAAAGTGAAAAAGGCTTGCCAAGCAGCAGGAAGGCAGGCTGAATTTGCCATCAGCCAGTTAATCACAATTTTATGCTACATAGTGTGGAAGCATGAAGTTAGTGTGGGTGATTCTTCTGTGGGTGTTAGCAATGATTATAGATGGGATCTATCTCTTTTATATGGAAAGAACTTTACAAATCAGTATGAAGCATGTCCAGAAAGAAGTCTAAATCATTCAGTGAAACAAAAGTAACAATATACTTTTTCTTCTTCTGTCAAGTTAACAGGATTTGAAAATAACAGTACTAAATGGTGGCAAGAATGTCAAGAAACAAATACTTTTCCAGCTGCTTTTAAGAATGTAAACTGGTATACCATTTCTGAAAGATGCTTTGTCATCATGCATTGGAACTCTTAAAGATGTTTATGCCCTTGGCTCATAGCCTGCAAGAACTCATCCTAGAATTATACAGCCAGAGGGTTTTGAGGTCACTCACTCTACCACAGCTTGGTGTTTTTTTCCCTTATGTTGCTATTAATTATACCTTATCAAACAATTTTTTATTAATTAGGATTTCAGTCTAGTTTCTAAAATATGTAATTTAAACCAATCAAACTGCTTTATGATAATGAGTGTATTGTATAGTCAATGTTTGAGTGACCCCAGCTCAATATTTCAACTCAAGGATCTTGAATTGAGTATCTTGAGAATCTTAACTTAAGGATCTCAACTCAGGTCTATGAGGAAGACCCTCAAACCAGTAGGGCATTTACTGACTTGATTTGCATTAATGATGATTGCATATGTATTATTGCTTAATATTTATTATTTCCTGTGGAACTCTAAATAAAGCATATAGTTTAAGTACCTTTGTATGTTTTGTTCTTAGTTCAAAATGACTTTGTAACTTAAGGACAGAAACTATGTCTTATATTTAAACATCCTTCCTAGTCCTCCCTATACTCCTAAGTTCGTATTGTTGTTTTCCCCCAAACTTCATTTTAAACAAACAAAACTGTTTTCTGTGTGAGTGGCTGGAGGTATATAGAGTTTAATGATTCACTGAAATTTGCTGTAGCAGATTTTATGCTAGAACAGTATTTCTTTTTCCACTTTCTTTGAGATTTCACTGGTTTCTTGACATTTGCAAGATTTGTATGTGTTCCCAGTTTTCTTTTTGAAGAGCTTGATTCCTACTTGACACTTCTTTGAATATTTTCATCTATAAACTGAAGGGAACTACAGAATTAGGAAGATTCTCGGGGATTTCAATAGCTCGTACACCTTCCCTTTAGCTTCCTTTAAAAATTCTCCCTTAATCTTGGTGCGTCGTTCTCTTATTTTTCATCAGTCTAGCTTAGTCTCGCACAGTGGTTCTTTTCCCTCTTTTATCTTAAATATATATATGTATGTTTCCCAAGATTTTATCCCACATTCAGGGCATGCACATCCATATAGCTACCACTGTTATGCCTGTGTCTTCAGTGTTAGTGCTGGTGCAGAGTAGGCAGTCAGAGTAAAGTTCATCCACAGCTTTCATCCTGGCTCACTTCTGAACCCCAAATCTGAATTTCCTCGTGTGAAACTTTTCCATGCAGATTTCAAGTCAGCACTTTAATATGCCTAAAAGCAGAACTTGATTTTTTCTTTTTTCTCCACCAGAACTTGTTATTTGCCTGTTCTCCTTTTATTATATAATGATACCACCATTATTCTGGTCACTCAGTTTGGAAATCTCTAGAAGCATCTTTAATTCATTCCTTTTCTTTCCACCCCTATATCTAAGTCATTTGTCAAATCCTGCCAGGTCCAGCTGAGTCTCAAGTCCCACTTCCATACTCATACTTACCTTGTCTATAGGCTCTCCTCTTCAGGCAATTGACACTGCCTTCAGAATTTCAATATTAATAAATACTAATCAATAAATAACATAAATCGCTTTATTCTTTTTTTTTTTTTTTTTTTTCTTTTCTGACAAGGTCTCCCTCTGTCACCCAGGCTGGAGTGTAGTGGCTTACTGTAACCTCTGCTTCCTGGGCTCAAACGATTCTCCCACATTGGCCTCCTTAATAGTTGGGACCACAGGTGGATGCCACCACACCCACCTAATTTTTTTTTTAATTTTGTAGTGATGGGCTCTCACTATATTGCCCAGACTGGTCTTGAACTCCTGGGCTCAAGGGATCCTCCCACCTCAACCTCCCAAAGTGCTGAAATTACAGGAGTGAACCATTGCGCCTGGTCCTATTCTCTTCTTCAGAAACCTGCTCTATTCTTTATTGTCTTCGTGTTCTTAAGGTTTTCTAGGCTCAGACTGCATTTCTAGTGTTTTCCTCCTTTTTTCATTCAATTGCCCAGTGTCCAGGTAATTGGTTTATTCAACAAATACTTAACTTTTCTAAATACTATTGATATAGCAGTGAATAAAACAGGCAATAAGGCAATGATCCCTGCCTTTGTGAAATTTAGACTGTAATAT